CTCAAAGGTCCCTTCCCACCCAGCTGATTCTGTGATTCTCTGAAGGAAGGAGGTTGGCACCTCCATGGTGGGATGTGACCACAGAGGCCCCCGGGGCTGGGGCCGGTCCCCCTTTGCTCACCTTCTTCTCATCCCCCTCCTGCAGGAGCTGGAGGTGGCTCCTCTTCTCGCTGTCCCTGCGCAGGGAGCTGTTCTGGTGGTGGGGCAGCCCCGTGGGGGGGGACACGCTGCGGCCCTGGGGGTCCACCCAGGTGTAGATGTGGTTGGTGACGTACCCGCCCGGGATGCGCCCCACCGAGTGCACAGACAGGTTCAGCTTCTTGCAGCCCTTCAGCACCTGCAAGACAAGCCAAGGAGAAGGGGGAGTCAATGCCAGCACCACCTGTCTTAGGGGGGGAGACACAGCTTTGCTCTTCCACGAGGCTGGAAGATCTCAAGCTGCTCCACGACCACCAGCTGAGTGATGGAGAGACATAAAAAGCTGGGATTTTGCATTTTTCTGCTCTCTCCTCTCTGAAACAGTGTTAAGGCAAAGCTGCTGACAGAGAAAACGCAGGGGGATTTTTTTTCCCCATCAGCCACGGAAAGAGCAGAGTGAGGCAGAGGATGGGAGGTGAGGTGGGCAGTGCCATGCCCAGGAGGAGCCTCAGGATGAGCTGAACCCAAGACTGAGCAGCTTCTGCAGCTCTGGAGAGGAGCTGGAGCAGGACAGGGATCAGTGCTGGAGGAGAGCAGCACAGATCCTTGTCCAAAGTCCCTCTCCAGCTCTCTTGGAGCCCCTTTAGGCACTGGAAGGTGCTCCAAGGTCTCTCCACAACCTTCTCCTCTGCAGGCTGGACATGGATGTCATCCTGTTCATGACCATGCTGGCAGCAGGCTCCAGTCAAACAACAACCTGTTTGGGAAAAGCCTGAGCTCAGCCCTAACTCTGTCCCCACAGCTCAGCCCCAAACTCCTCTCATCCCACAGCTCAGCCCCAAACTCCTCTCATCCCACAGCTCAGCC